AGCCATGATTTGCACAACACATGAATAAATGTAAATACCCTGCACTGAGGTGATGTACTGTATGTAATAAACAATGGAGTAAGCCGAATCTCAACAAGAGCTCTGTATTTCTGATATACTAATAATATATTCTAATAATACTAATATATTATAAAAATAGCAGATTGTCATTGGCAACGGCAAAAGAGTGGAAACATCATTCGCACTTGTTCGCAGAAAGTCCATTGTTTGCCTCACGTAACTGCTGAATGGAAAGTCTGTTGTTTGCAGCCAGTCCGTTGCTCGAGTCACGTAACGGCCAAACAGAAAGCCTGTTGTTCGCAGCATTTGTTATTCGAGGTGTATGTTATACAAGGCACCACTGTATTCAGTTTTTATATACAAGATAAGTTAATTTTAAAAGTCAAGTTTTTATTTACTTAATAAAAACTATTTTCAAATACTTATTGGAGTTAATGATATTTAATAACTATAATATTTTAACTTTTTAAAACCAATGTAAATAGAAAATTTTTATTAAAATGTTAGAAATTTTAACACATTAATCTTAGGGATTCTAACTATAAAATAAAAAATTTTTTTGCATAATTTTTGTATCTTAATAATTTACATTTTTCATATTATATTTTTACCAATATAATATGAAAACTGCAAAATAAAATAGAAAAAACTTAAGTGTATTAATTAAAATAAATAAAATGCAGATTTTATTGTAACTTAAATGAAACAGTTATGAAACATCTTAAATATACAATTTTGGTATAAATCAAATTTCATGTCCTGTTAAGCCATATATGGCTTGTAATTATATTTCAGTATGTGGAGTAGGAGAAGTAGCTGCCAAGATGCATCCTTATTCTGTTTGTTTATTTTTTTATCCTGATAAGAGAAAAGTTTATAGAAATTTTGATTTTTCCTGAATTCTTTGTTCTTTAGTTGGATTCCTGAAGATAGATTCATAAATTAGATTAACAATTGCTACTTTACAACTGGTTAATAGTAGATAAAAATAAATGCTGCAAAAAACTAACAAACCAGCAATAAAATTATGCACAAAGTGCAAACGTTTTTGCAGGTCAGTTTTGTTCGAACAGAAGTTCTTGACACATGCGCAATGCCATTTTGCAATGTGAAGAATAATGTGCATGCCAGTTCTAAATCAGTTACATTTAGGGACTAGGGAGACTTGGGTAGGAGTAACGTAATTAACCTATATTAAGAAAGAAGATGTACAGAAGATGATTTAACTGTATTTGATATTGTTGGAGATGTGTGTGATTCATACAAGAAGTAGAACCTAAAAAAAAAAAAAAAAAACAAGGGTCAACAGGTTTTACACGAAATTCCTGGACAAAATTAATAGTTCACCCAGACAGTGGGTCAATTCCCGGACTGTCCAGATGAAAACTGGATGGGTGTTAACACTACGTTGAGAACATATCACACAAGAACACTTTCAGAGGAAAAAGGTTGTTTTATTGGTGTGAACATAAAAATTCCACCTCTTAATATATACTTAATTTTAGATTTAAGTTCACCCCTTTTTTATTTTAGCACATGTTATACCATCCTAATGTGTATATGTGTGGAGCCAAAAGAACTTTTAGTTTCTTTTTCCTTTTTCAACTACATGTATATCTTCTTACAAGTCATGTTGGTTTAACTGTCACTATCTCAGGTAATTAAGTTGTATTATATAAACCATTGTACGTGTATTCTAAGTTTTCAACGCATTCTGTAAATTTGTAAACCTGTAATCAATTTACTGATAAATATGTAATAATAGGACTGAAGAGGGGTGTTAAGCCTGAAATGCATATCCGTTCACACCAATAAAACAACCTTTTTTCTCTGAAAGTGTTCCTGTGTGATATGTTCTCAACGGCAACATTGTGCTAAGAAAATGCATATAATAGAGAACAACAAGCAAGATTTAAGAATTTTTGAAATTAAAAGGACATGTTAAAACAATTTATAAAAATTATCTAGTATTCTTTGTTTACTATCAACTTTTATAATAGCTAGTTTAATGCTAGTAAATAACACTTAAAATAAAATGAATTTAAAACACTGTTTAACACTGATAACAATAACTGAAAACAATTACATATTAGTTGCATGATAAATGAAACTAGCATAGAAATTTATTTTTGATTTTTGTGTCAGGTTTATATAACTAGGATATACAGTGGTGCCTCATATAACATACTTAATCCGTTCCAGGTGCACATCCGTTAAGTGAAAAGTCTGTTATATGAAACGCGTTTTACCATAGAAATACATATTAAAACATATAATTCGTTCTGCAGCATAAAATAACCGTACTGTTCCATAAAAAAAATGAAAATGGAGCAGTCACCAAATATGCCGGGTAGTGAGATTCGAGGAGGTGGAGGAACACTTTCTTTACACATTCATATAGATACAGACTTTTTACACATTGCAGCAGGTCTCTTTTTATTGTTTTTTAATCGGAGTCAGAATCAGGAGAGGCTACCAGAGCTTGCAGAGTCATCTCCTCTTGTTCCATCCTTTGTTTTTTGGCACCTGGCTTCTTGAAAAACATGTCCAAGGTAGTCTGTTTCTCACTCTTCTTCAACACCTGTTGGAAATGACGGGCAAGGGTGTCATTGTAGAGATCATTGGCCTCAGCTCTGTTTGGATAATGAGTATCCTGAACCTCTCTCCATTTGACAAGGAAGTTTTTGTCAACTTTCACACTTTCTGATGATTTCTTGCTTTGTTTCAATTGAAATCACCTTTCTGTTCTTTTAGAAGCCATGATTTGCACAACACGTGAATAAATGTAAATACCCTGCACTGAGGTGATGTACTGTATGTAATAAACAATGGAGTAAGCCGAATCTCAACAAGAGCTCTGTATTTCTGATATACTAATAATATATTCTAATAATACTAATATATTATAAAAATAGCAGATTGTCATTGGCAACGGCAAAAGAGTGGAAACATCATTTGCACTTGTTCGCAGAAAGTCCGTTGTTTGCCTCACGTAACTGCTGAATGGAAAGTCTGTTGTTTGCAGCCAGTCCGTTGCTCGAGTCACGTAACGGCCAAACAGAAAGCCTGTTGTTCGCAGCATTTGTTATTCGAGGTGTATGTTATACAAGGCACCACTGTATTCAGTTTTTATATACAAGATAAGTTAATTTTAAAAGTCAAGTTTTTATTTACTTAATAAAAACTATTTTCAAATACTTATTGGAGTTAATGATATTTAATAACTATAATATTTTAACTTTTTAAAACCAATGTAAATAGAAAATTTTTATTAAAATGTTAGAAATTTTAACACATTAATCTTAGGGATTCTAACTATAAAATAAAAAATTTTTTTGCATAATTTTTGTATCTTAATAATTTACATTTTTCATATTATATTTTTACCAATATAATATGAAAACTGCAAAATAAAATAGAAAAAACTTAAGTGTATTAATTAAAATAAATAAAATGCAGATTTTATTGTAACTTAAATGAAACAGTTATGAAACATCTTAAATATACAATTTTGGTATAAATCAAATTTCATGTCCTGTTAAGCCATATATGGCTTGTAATTATATTTCAGTATGTGGAGTAGGAGAAGTAGCTGCCAAGATGCATCCTTATTCTGTTTGTTTATTTTTTTATCCTGATAAGAGAAAAGTTTATAGAAATTTTGATTTTTCCTGAATTCTTTGTTCTTTAGTTGGATTCCTGAAGATAGATTCATAAATTAGATTAACAATTGCTACTTTACAACTGGTTAATAGTAGATAAAAATAAATGCTGCAAAAAACTAACAAACCAGCAATAAAATTATGCACAAAGTGCAAACGTTTTTGCCTGTGTTAAATGGGTGTTGTCAGGCAATTAACTGCTGTGAAGATAGAGGGTATTACTGAACATGTGTGTAGGGGAAGGGGTGTGTGATGTAAGAGAGTAAGAGGGTTTATATTTTGTAGAAATACTTCCAGGCAGTGAGGAAGGAATCCATGTTGTGATAGTTTTTGGCTTTGTTATGGCATATGACACACACATATGGTTTAGATTCATAATGTAGTGGGTGTATCTCATGGAAGTCCATCTAGATGCCTGGGTCAGATGCATATGTAGCCAAAGCCATATTGTTTGAACCTTTTTTGATAGATATTTGATGTTCTTTGAGATGGATATGTAGTGGGCATGATGTAGTGCCTATATATTGCAGGTGGCGGTTGTAACAGTGGTCTATGGTGGGAATGCTGTAAATGCCTGGTAAGGTGGTTCTTATTGGGTTGGTCTTTGACATTGCGGAGTAGAGAGATGATAATAGAACTTATGCGGAAAGCCAAACAAATAGTGCTTCCTCCTGCAATTTCTTGGTAAAGTGTGGCAAGAGTCTTGTAGGTGATGGTCTTGAATTTTGTTTCTTCCTGAGAGGGTTTATTTAATTGGATGGAATTGGAGCTGGCAAGATTGCAGATAAAATCTTTAATAATGTGTAGGGGGGTAGCATGCAGGATGGCATATTGGGTGATAATATGAAGCTCCTTGTATGTGTTTAAGCATCTATAATGAGTGGAAATTTACAAGACTACCTGCCATAATGAAGTCATAAACTATTGCAACGTGGACTCCTTCCTCACTGCCTGGAAGAATTTCTATGAAATATAAACTCCCTTACTCTCTTACATCATACACCCCTTTCCCCTACATATGTGTTTGGCAATCCCCTCTATCTTCACAGCAGTTAGTTGCCTGACAATGCTCATTTAACACGACCAAACACGTTCAAACTTTTTGCATAATTTTATTGCTGGTTTGTTAAGTTTTTGCAGTGTTTATTTTTGTCATAAATTAGATTTTGAAAGTATTTGATTTATTTTTATTCCAGAAAAAATAATTTAGTTGAATACAATCTTAAAAACAATTTTTAATACACTTTTTTTAATAATCTGTTTTATTTTCAGATAATTCCTCTATATTGTTTTTATTTCTAATCAGAAGATTCTTATTTAACAATGGTTAAAGAATTTGTAGAAGGATGGGATATAGTTCAAACATTAGGTGAAGGGGCCTATGGAGAGTAAGTATGAATTATTATTAAAATTATATTATTATTATTATTAGACATAAACAATATAATACACGAATAATCTATATGTATAAAAAGTTTTCTTTCTTTATTGAAAATGAAAAAATCTATAGTGAGAATAAAAAACTAGAACTATATCTGGTTAGTTGCTGAAAGAAACTCCTTTTCAATAAAATTCATATCGGTAGATCCATATTTTTTTTTTTTATATTCAAGAAAGGCAATCCTAAGTATTCAAAAGATTAATAAAGATACAAAGTTTATTTTTCATATTGATATGCAATAAATTATGTAATTTTCTTAAACCTATTTTCAGAATATGTTTCAGAGAATTACATAATTTGAAATAGAATATTCTGTTTTTGCACTTTCTTAGAATATATTTTATATTCTATATATTAGGGATGCACAACCTTTTCTGAAGAAGGGCCAAATTAGGATTAAGTTTACTGACTGGGGGCCGGACCTCCAAGTGATTAATGCGATGGCTGAGATTGGATGCTGGTGGCAATCTTCTTGATGTCTAGCGTAATGGCAGACGTTGAAACAACCAGCAGATTTTCCAAATTCTCGTTGGTTAACCTGTTCCGTGTTTTGCACTTGTTTAAATTCATAAGCGAAAACGCTTGTTCGCATACATACCATGTTTCCCCGAAAATAAGACCTAGCAGAGGTTTTGCTGAATTGCTAAATATAAGGCCTCCCCCCG